AGAAAGCGATCTGTGTTCAGAGAGGGGAAAGGTTTGAAAGGTTTGAAAGGTTTTGTAAAAAAGGTTTGAGGATGATTTTGAAGGTTTGTGTTTTGTACCTACATACACGTTTAATACAAAAAAATCCACATAAAGTTTTAAAAATGAGACATCTGATCCCTTAAATGTAGCTCTATTCTCAAACATAGATACATACCACCTAATTTCCCCTGCCCACCCCTCCTACTGGTCAGCCTCTACCATGTTCTGAGTTGAGTGACAGGTGGATTTAATCAAACACAGTCAAGTGTAAACTCTCTGAAGAAGTCTATAGTTATAATTACATCCTATAGACAATATGAAGTGCTACTAGTTGTAAAATGAAAGCCATAGTCGCAACTTATACTTCTCTTGTGCACCTTTAAGGAAGCAAATAAGTGGGTCAAGATTTTGGGGTTGCAGTGTTCGTACCGTGTCTCTACAGTCAGCATCCACTCGTCCAGAGTTCAGGAGCAGCTGAAGCAGAGCCAGGTTCCCCTTTCGCGCTGCCCAAAACACTGCATTAGCCAGGGGAGTTTCCTTCTGTAATAAATACACACAACACTCACTGACCTCAAACCACCATTATTATAGTATTAGACACATGAGCTGAGAGAAAACAATGGAGCACAGGGTTATTTTGGCTATAATGGTTACACCTCTATGACCACATTCATCACGTTAAGAAGACCACACGTGACATACCTTAGGTTTTCATATGAAATATAACAGTATAACAATGTAACAGTCAAATCTAAATAAAAATGACAATTTTACAGGTTTACTGGTTGTTCTGTAATGGCCTTTCTTTATTTGATTATTGGATAATATATATAAACTCATTATAAAATCATTAGGGTCACCACTACAGATTCTCTTATTTTAATATTTTATAACCTCTTAATATACAATATATCCAAATAATTTACTCTATTTAAAAGAAAGAAAAACAACAGAAGGAACTGCAACACAACACTACAGGTGCTATTAAAATAAATCAATATATTGTCCATTACAAACATCTTTGGTGGGGAACAGTAGACTAATATGCCATGAATAATTCACTCAGCATCACTCATATACAAAATAAAGTTAAAAAGACAACTATGTGAAATCAAGTTCACACATGGATTCTCATGATTTTTAAAAGCAAACACCACAAAACATTGTGCATATAACTAGTTTCTGAAAAAAGTGATAATATTTTACAAAAAAATGTGTAGTATAGTAGCTATATGGGGGCAAGGAAAGAGACTTTCCTATGGCCTTTCTAGAGTGTTCCCATGTACTCATTCATTACAGTGGGAAAGAGTATAACAGGGGCTGATTCGATTGGATAAGGAAGAGGATAGGAAGCTGCAAACCAAAACATTGAACTACTGCTGTTTATGTGCAAGCAAACATGCATGCACAAGCAGCACACTGTAATACCACGTTTAATGCTTCACGTCACAGCAAAAACACCACAAAACCATTTGATCCTATCTGTTTCCTTTGGGTTATTCTCTTTTCATTGCACCACGTTATTAAATTAAACCAGCGAATGTCTGAATGCACTAAAGAGCAGGTGATGTGTGTTTGCATTGGGCCTCCGCCTTGCAGCTTACATATGTCAGAGAGTGATGTAAAATTTACCTTAAAAGACATGATCCTGTGCACCTCATTCGTGACTCATGGCTCTGGTCGTAGCGCAGTCGTTCATTATGGAGACGATGCCTGTTTTGCCGCACTGTGTTTGGGTGTTGGCGGCGCGGACATAACAGCACAGCACAGACACTCAGCTCATCTGCAGTGACAGTGGAGAGCACCGGCCGCTAGGGGGAGCTGTTCCACACGCACAGTGTCATTTCAGGCCATGTGCTGGTAAGGTGCATTATATTTGTGGCTAAATAGTTTTTTTAGTTAATTATTGGAAACTGAATCATAAGGCAATTGATTTAAGACTAGTTACGTGGGGTATGTGTCAAAGTTTCCAAATCATGACAGTGTTATATATGGGTATCATTAACTTAGGGTGGCCGGAATTTCAAAATAAAAAACTGGGATATCCCCGTTTTTTGGTAGTTGGTAATAATAAAATTGTGAAACATAATTATAAGCATAATTATAAGGAAAATTGTTATGCAGGGACCATTCATGACAAACATGTGAGCCAGTATAGTCATTTTCTTTGTGTATTGGTCGTTTTTAAGCAGATTTTTTGTATTTTGGGATTTAATTGGTCAAAAATGGGGACACCTGGGACATTTCTTATATAAAACTGGGACAAATTACTGGTTTTGGATAAATCTGCTGGGACAAATGTCACAGGGCTCAAAACTGGGACTGTCCTGGGTAAATAAGGATGTCTGATCACCCTACATTAGCTACAACAGAAACAAAGGTATTATTATTATTATTATTATTATTATTATTATTATTATTATTATTATTATTATTATTATTATTATTATTATTTAAAGCTCGTGTACACTCACTCCTGAGCCTCTCCATTGAGTTTTTTTTCATTCATAGATAATAAATAAAAACGCTTATTGTATAAATGCTTAGTGTTCAATGTGGCATGGAGACAGTTGTGACTTACCCTGAGCAGATAAAGTGAAGCTTTTTTCTCACATCTAACAAAGATCCATGCACTATAACTAGCCTACTTCAAAATAAAATATATTACTGCGCAATTACACAGGGGAAGTGCTTAAAATTATATTACTCAAAAACAGAAAACCTATATTTGAAATAAACAACTTCACAGGTAAAATGTAGCTCACCTTAGTACATTTAACTCATAACACATGCCCTGTCTATGCTGTGAATGTTGTTGGAAAGTTGTGTGTCAGGTGTTATGACCAATTATAGCCTTCCATTTGAAGGATTCACCTTATTGCAGCTCTGTCCAAATGATAATAGAGGTGTTACTGTGAACCTGAGGGGATGTGTCCTATTTTGGTTGACTAATAAGATCTTCAGGTGTTGATTTAGGGATTCAAAACTAAGTCCAGTCAAAACATATGTTTACTGTAAGGCTATATAAGGAGGATGGAGAGTGAAGGTGAGGAAGGGAGCAGAGCAAAACAGACATGGGGACAGATGATATTCACAACCATGCAGGTGAGTTTATCCAATATGAGTGATATGAGTGAGTTATACCTTTTGCTATGTTTCTGTGTGTATGCTGTCAATGCTTTTATGTAATATTTGCCTTAGATAAATTAATTTATAAGATATTGTGAATTTCAATCTTCACTAATTTATGAATGCACTTCTACACTTCTTAATGTAACTTTATTTTGCCCATCATTATTTTTAGTGTGCCCATCCAAATTACTAGAATAGCTAGAATCAGGGCTGCTTGTGCCCAATGAGTCCTCAGTCTTCAATGAGTGATTAGCCCTCGCAGCACAGAAGCAGTGCTCCTATGTGGAATCCCAAACAGAAATGAGCTGAAGATTATATGACATACAGATATATATGACACTTGCAGTGTCATCAAAATTATCCAGTTTCGCATTCTTATCTTTAAGCATTATTACAGTGCTTGATAATACATTGTAGTACTAACTAGTTTTCTGTATCTTGTTATCTGGTAGCTCCGCAGATCGTGCTGCTGCTGTTCTTTTCCATGCTGCTGTGTGCCTTGCCTTGTATGGCCTCCCTGGACTCAGAGGAACTGCCTGTGTCTGAGTGGGACATGTGGAAATCCACCCACGGCATCAGCTATGATGAGAGGGTTTGACTCTTAACACTAACTTCATTGTCTGATTTAAAGCTGATTTAGTCCTGGCTTTAGACTGGTTTGTTTAAGTTTAATTCCTAATGCTAAATCGAAAAACTAATAAATAACACCTCAATATACATAACTTTTACACTGTGAACTATAGCCATCGATCAACTGACTGGATTTAGAACTGCTGGTCCTTCACTGAGAGAGAGCACTGTAAGAGCCCTGAAGAAGACCCATTGGGTTGAAACGCATAGGTGTCCCATTTTGTTTTTGTGAAGGACTTTTGTACAATTGGTCAGTGTGCATCGAATCCTTTTGCCTATCAGTATTTCTTTAAAGCACATTTTGGCTCTTTCTCAGTAAATGTGCACGTCTTCGAAGAGTACCTGACGTTTTCTGACCCAGGGAAGCAGTCGCATCCTTACCTGTCTTCTACAAGAATATATACATGGTCCCTTTATTGATTCTTGTTTTCACCACTGTGCACAACCATGTACTATTTTATAAATAAGTTTAACTATGTTTAGATCTTGATAACTTGGCGTATCAAAATAGTTAATACATGCTATTTTCATGTTGCATCCCTACTCTAAAAATGAATGCTCTGACTCAGCTGTCTTTGATGTTTCTGTCATTGTGTAGGACGACATCCAGAGGAGGGCCATCTGGGAGGAGAACAAACGGCTGATTGAAGACAATAATCAGGGGTTTCTTATGGGCTCGAGAGGGTTCGCCATGGCTATGAATAAATACGGAGATCTGGTTAAGTGTTTGTCTACTCCCCACAGAAATTGCATCATCAATCATCAATGAAAGTTAGAAAATTAATTACTCTGAAATCTTATTATTCAGACGAGACAGGAATACCAAGTACTTCAAGGTGCCATGATAGATGCTCAGTTTGTGAAGAGAGGCAAAACGGTCTCGGCCCGGAAGTTGAGGTCCAATGCTCGCCAGTTAGACCCATATTTTGTAGACTACAGGAACACAGGTTATGTCACGGAAGTCAAGGACCAGGTAAGTTTTTGGCCCGCTAAAAAGGCTTGAGTCTCGAACCTCTTAAAACTGTCTTAAATCATTTTGACAGGGCTACTGCGGCTCCTGTTGGGCATTCAGCACCACTGGAGCGATAGAGGGGCAGCTATACAAGCAGACTGGCCAGCTTGTGTCCCTGAGCGAGCAGAACTTAGTGGACTGCTCCAAATCGTATGGGACATATGGGTGCAGTGGAGCGTGGATGGCGAATGCATACGACTACGTGATCAGCAATGGGCTCATGTCAACAAGCACCTACCCATACACATCAGTGGTAGGACAACTACTAATCTTTTTGAAAAAATTTACTTCTGCGAGTAGTTTCAAGACACTATACTTTTACTTCTAATGAGTAATATATTTGAAAAAAAAAAAAAAGTGTTACGCTTGCCACTGGGAGTAAGTTTACAAGGCTTTATGTTGACAGTTTGAAATGAATCTGTAACCTCTCTTTGACATGATGGTTAATGGGTTACATTTTTATATAGCGCTTTTCCACCTTCAAGGCACTCAATGCGCTTCGCCTCAAGGAACCACCCACCCATTCACACACACATTTATACACCAATGTACACAGACACTTGGGGCAAGGTGGGTTAAGTGTCTTGCCCAAGGACCCAACGACAGCATTCATCTGTGGGAGAGGAATCGCACCACCAACCAATGACAGCCAACCTTCAGATCAGTGGTCAAACGCTCTACCAACATCACAGACATAATCAGATTTTGTGCGATATTTAATGTTTTAACCTTCAAATTTCATTAACTTAAAATATTATTCAGACATTATCTCCAGACAATTACAATCAGTCTTGCTTGAGTAGTGGTTTCTTCAAATACTTTTTTTACTATTTCTTGGACAATTTCTTTGTACTTCTTTGTAATATTATATTGAAGTTACAGTACTCTTAGTTATTGAGTGAAATCTTTGGCTTCTCAACTCACCTCTGATGATCAGGCAAAACATTATGACTATGGGAAAAGTGCAGTGCTGTTTATCTCTTGTAGTCCAATATACATTTTTCAAGTTCCCGATTTTACAAGTGGAGAAATGGGATAATAAAGGGATTTGAGGACATCTACAAATCTGCAGCTATGTAGGGCTGTTCCTGAAAAGTCACTCAGAAAATCTAGGCTTATTGCCAGACATAGATCTTATCACAAACTTATCCCTACTCTAAAAGCTCTCTGAGGGATTTTCCAGACCAGGATGAGCAGCTGCAGTTCAAATAGTTGAAGTTAACACTGTTTCTCATACCTACATAGTATGATGATGTATGTGGGGCTGTGTATGAGACAGGTGCTTGAAGAGTACATCAGCATATATCAGTGTATAAGCCTGTGTGTGTCTGAATAGGACACGCAGCCCTGTTACTATGACAGCAGACTGGCAGTGGCCCACATTAAAGACTACAGATTCATCCCAAAAGGAGACGAGCAGGCACTGGCTGATGCCGTGGCGACCATTGGACCAATCACTGTGGCCATTGATGCAGACCATGCCAGCTTCCTTTTCTACAGCTCAGGTACATTAACACATGCACCCAACATCTTGAGTATTCATGTTTCAGTGAACATATGTCAAACATTTGAGCATATGCACATTTTTGGCAAGTATATGTAGGCTTTCTTCAATTTAATATTATATTCATGCTCCAGGGTTTTTTGCCATCAGTCCCACTAGTTACTAGACAATGTTTTGTCCAAGAACACAGCAGTATGTAATTCTTGACCAATCAGAGCTCCTACCTCATCTTACTACAGTAAAATCAGATTTGGCATAATATATCCAGATAGTTCAAGTAAAGCTCTTACTTTAGTAAGAGCTTTAGCTTCTCACCACTAGAGGTTGGATCTACAATGTATTTTTGGCATTTATTATACTTCCCCAGGAGGCAGATGGAAGTAAACTAGTGCAGTGGTATTTGTGTGTCACAGGGATCTATGATGAGCCGAGCTGTAACCCCGGTAACCTGAGCCATGCTGTGCTGCTGGTGGGCTATGGCTCTGAGGGAGGAGAGGACTACTGGATCATCAAAAACAGGTCTGTGTCCAAGGATCATTTATAAAAGGGTCTTAATGTGCTTCATTGATACATGTGTTTTGATGGCTGTAGTTGGGGCACAAGCTGGGGAGAAGGAGGCTACATGAGGATGCTACGCAATGGCAAAAACACCTGCGGCATCGCCAGTTATGCCATGTACCCAATTTTATAATATATTTAATACATCAAGTATATCACATTTGTTTAATCACAGACTCTGTACATTGCTCATTGTTCATGATTCTCTATGCATATTATCCCAATAATTATATTTTTTACAATGCTTTTAATTTTGTCTAAAACAAAAAATGTTTTATTAGTGACACAAAATTACAACTAACTATGCTTGCTTCATTGATTTGTCAAATCAATATTATTCACAAGAGATTACGAAAACAAGCATTACTAATGTGGGATGATTGGCACGATAACTCTCATTAATGACAAATCATTTTGTATATAAAATTAGGTCTGTATAATCAATGTAATTATGCAACACAAGATTTGCAAGGCAAATGAAGTAAATCAGTGTGTAAACGGTGTAGTGTAGATGAATCCAATTTGTATAAACCTTGTATCAAAACAGTTTGTTAAAGGACCATTTATTTATACACACTGAATGTGTATATTTAATGGACAAACATTACATAATCAGTAACTTTATTTATTTTTGTTATATTTAGTAAAGGTGAAGTGAATTGTGAACTCTATATGTCTTTAAAATTCTTATAAGCTGTAAAACTGATCCTTCACACTGGAACTTTACACTATCCAATTTTATATCATAAGCTGCATTGTATAAAACGCTTTTTTGGCTGTTGTAGCACAGTAGATGAAAGGATAACAGAACAGTAGAATTGGATTTCCTGAGCTACCACAACATAATAAAGACTAATTTTGTGACACTCTTAACTTAAATTAAAGGCTTCAAGCTCTTATTTTTTATAATACATGTTGATGAAAACATTGCCAGATTACTATGTCACATAATGTTTCTTTTTAAACATGAATATTTTTTTGCATTGTGTTGTTATGTTTGTGAATGCTGTGCTTCGTGACTCTATGAATAGTTTATTATCAAGCAGATTTCACCTTTCATTCTCCATTCTGTGTTTTTTTGTGACATTTTGCTTGTCAGCTCAGAAAAAGTGGGGCACGACAGCCATTTTCAAAGTAAGTATAGTAAGTAGTATGTAAGTAATAAGTAAAGAGAGAGCAATTTTTCAAAACCAGACTGAAACATACAAGAAATTAAAGGGCTAGAGAAGGGCATTGGACCTATTCCATATGCCTATGCCAAACAAATATTCAAAGCTACACATTAACAGTAACATTGTAAAAAATGTCCTTATATTACACATACATTCTTCTGATGTGTCACACTGACAGTGTTAGGCAGAAACAGAAGATTAGCATCAATGTTGCAAAACAAAAGTGAATTCTGTCACTTGGGCAAATGTTTTTAAGAGTGAATATGTTTTGTAGCTCATCCAAGAGGCTTCTTCAGTTCTGACAGGATACTGGCAGATATAAGGCAGTGACTTATCAGAATCCTATCAGAATTGAAGAAGTTGCTCTGATGAGTGGCGACACATATTCTTAAACTCTTTTGTTCAGTTGACAGAATTCAATTTTCTTATGCGACTAAACCTACCTGGACCACTAAGGGATAACACAGACTTTGCATCAGTGTTTCGAGATGGGCACTATGGTATCTGAAAACATGTATAATAACTAATAGTCCTTCTAGGAACTCCCTCCGATCCTGGCTCAAAATCAGAGGGTTTCTGGGCACCACATAGCAATCGCCCACTACTTTTGACAGGATGCCCCAGTGGCATTGAATGATGGGTACAAACTTTTACAGACAGAGTTAAATCCCGGTAGATGTCTCCCTCTCTTTCTACTGAAAAAAAATCCAAGCTGCCACTTGCCAAGTTGTCTGACCTACCAGCGTTTAGGAGGGTATCCATAATTCTTTCTCTTGTCGACAGAGTGCGTTCCATCTGGACTCTGCAGCAGTGGTGACATGTGTCAGGCTGAGAGAGTGTGAGAGAGTTGCGGAGTGAAATAAAATGTGAGGTTTTGTGCTGAATATTGTTGCCAGATAGCGACAGATGCACATTGGCCTTATATTGTAAACCGCAGTGAATGGACAGCAGGTTGGACAACAGCAGGTGTACTGTGCGGTAGCTCTGGTTCACTGTCCAGGCTCAGTGGGCCAGAAGGTGGCATTTTACAAAGAAAAACTAATTTGTCGTTGTTTAAATGGAATGAGCAGACTCTCGATAAGAGAGGTGCAAAAACTTTTCAAAAATTCACTGGGGATGACCTTGTTTTTGTTTTGTCAACAGAGGTTGAGAGGTGCATGGCTGTGCTTGACATCTGGGTCCAGATGTTGAACAGTTGGAGATGGATGGATGGAGATAGAGATAGAGAGATAGAGAGATAGAGAGATAGAGAGATAGAGAGATAGAGATAGAGAGAGAGAGAGAGAGAGAGAGAGAGAGAGAGAGAAACTAAATGGCATTTGAAAAAGAATTGACTCTGATTTAATTAGAGTAATCTACACCCTGCTGCTGAATTGTGGGGAAAACCTTTGCTTTTCAGGATGTGAATAATATTACTATCACATGAGCTAAGAGCCATTGTTGAGCTGAACCTAGAAATGACTAAATAGAACGCTTGGTGCGAGTGTAGTAACTAGTAAGCAAATTGTTTTGTTCCTTTTTGCAATAACAATTAAGGTGAAAAGAACAGAGCAACTAATGACAAACTGAATACAACTTTTGACAATAATTTAGGCAATAACACATTTCAAGTCTTTAAACTAAAGTACCAAATATAGCTTACATTTTTGCAGTTTATGTGACTTTTAAACTAAATTGTGCTTAAAAGTCATGGTATATTAAGGGTTATAGAATATTAAAAGTTATAGAAATGCTAGTTTTCCTTTTTAAATGTTTTGACAAGATCTTAGTGTGAATTATTACAGTCAGAATAGAAAGAATTAAGATTTAGAAGTGCTAAACAACAGATATTTTGTCATGTATTCTGCAATGAAATGGAAGGATCATGTTCTATGTAGTTCCCTCTGTTTTGTGCTGTATATTACTGTAGTACATTTGAGGATATCACATCACAGTACTTCAGTTACATCCAAACTAACAAACAGAAAAGTGGGAGGAACATGTTCCAGTTTGTTCCTGTAAAATTCAGCCCTGCATTTATCAACTGAAATAGAAAAGTATTTTCTAAAAATATATTTTTTTCAGGAGAAGCATCTCAAGTCTTTTCAAGTCACAGGCCTCAAGTCCCAAGTCACTGACCTTCAAGTCCAAGTTGAGTCCCAAGTCTTAGTTCATTTTATCAAGTCAAGTCTCAAGTTCTAACTCAAGTCTGACTCAAGTCCAAGTCGCGACTTGCAAGTCCCCTCCTCTATATGTTGAAACTGTTAGAACTCACACAACTCACAGAACTGGAAATGCACTGAATGATGTAGAAATGTATTAAATATGTACCCCTAATCAAGGGTGTCATAGTTTCAAGTTTTGGGCCAAGACTAGACCAGAGCTAAAATAAAAACATAACTTAACCACGATGAAGTAAAAACCCCAAAGGGTCATGAATAAATCAAAAGATGATCTTACATAATATATATGTGAATTGATTGCGTAAAACTATTTTTGTTTGTTCCATTCAGTTGTATATGTTTTGGAATAAGATTGTCACACTCTCTGATGGGGTCCTATCTGGGCTATTGTCCAACTCTACCGAGACGTGGGGTTTCAAATATGAGGTTTCTTTCCTTTTTACAAGTCATTCACAATCTATTTTTCTTCATAGTATTTTTCTGAAGTTTAGTGAGAGCCAGATCCAAAAAGGCCAAAGTGTACTGAAAAGAAGAGTTGAAAATGTGTTTTTGAAACTCAAAGAGAAATGGGAAAAAGGTAAATTCTAATCTTTTAGTGTGACAGTACAAAATGAATAGATTAACAAAGGCACTGCATTTTAATTTAAGACTTTGACAAATAGAAGTCAGAAAGTTTAAGTGAAACTAGACTCCCCGCTTTGCATTACTGATTAAAAAAGTTTTGAGAGGTGAAAGAAGAATACAAAAATAACCCAATGAGTTGTTGAAATTCCTTTTTTTTTTAAGATGTCTTGATATGCCTCATCAATTTCACAGATTCATTTTGCAGAGTGGTTCTTATTGCCATAAACAGGACAGACATGGTCACTTTGCTGAACTTATGAGCTTATAATAGCATGATTAATTTGAAAGATAAACCTAACTTGGCAGGTAATGGATGTGGAAGGTGTTTTGAAGGTACAGTTTGGAATAAATCTTGACTTGATACAGGTAATGTTGGGTGACTGAGACTCTTCTGTTATTAGGATGTAAAAGAGGACAAGGTGAATAGAGTTAAATGTAATTCAATGAGATGATGGAAAGACGCCAGGGACACATAGGAAGCTTTTATGCAATATGCACTAATTCTATTTTAAAGCGTTAAGTGTTTTGGCATTGACCAAGTAAATGAAACAAAAGCTTGAAAAAGTGGACAGGGAAAATTAGGCAGCATTCAAATATCCACAAGCTTAACAAGATTTGCCATTGGTTCCAACAGCTTTAAAATGGCGGCTCTTGTGGCATTAATGGAGTCCAAGAAAGTAACAGTGCTGAACAGGGATTTTGTGTGTGTGGAGGGTATAATGTCTCCCAGTTTGTTGCATATAAGCCAATCATAACTTTCTTTGCTGAGCTTCCCAATACCACAGTTGTCTCAGGGGCTTTCCAGTCTCATCAAACAGATAAACAATCAATAATGAAAAAACAAGCAAATAGATTAGCTGTCCCAGGGCGTCAGCCTGAAAATAAACACACTGAAGCAGGCTTTATTTTGGGCAAGAAGAGGCTGTAGATTTGATTAATGTTATGTCTGATCAGTAATAAGTATTTCTAAATATGTACACAGCTACATGGTGTCCAAAAATTCACACATCTCTCCAAAAAATCTAACACCCATCTGAATGAAGTTAAAAGCAGAATTCCTGTCCAGTGTCCGCACAGATCAAAATGGCCACCCTCACCCTGCAGCACATCAAAAGAGGTCAGAGGTTAGGACGTGAGACTTTACAGAGTGAACTTAGCCAACCTCTGTTCGTGTGTTCTTTTGATTTCAGACGATATTGACTGTTCCGATAACATCTGGAAAAACAGCTGTGTGCCTGTACCACCATATGACTGAGGCTGAAGCATATCCGTCAGGGGAAGTGGACAAAATATTGGCCCGCCAATATCCGAAGGGACCAAGATAATATGTTGAGTGAAGCGGAGGAGGCATGTGAGTTCAGGAGCAGGTTCAAAATTAAATGTCGCAGCACAGACCTATTAGATTTCTCATGTTGTTCAGAGGTAAACACCATCAACAACAAGCGGTCTCGGCTAAAAGACATTTTAATGGGTTGGGGTCAAACCAGGACGACATCATCCCAAAAATCA